CTCTTACTATAGACCATATCTCTTGCCCGGTCACGGCTTACACAACTTTACAAAATATGTTCTTTCTTAGAACCTTACCATACTGGTACAATAATTTAATGGAAAATCTCTTACTATAGACCATATCTCTTGCCCGATCACAGCTTACACAACTTTACAAAATCTAATCTTTTTTAGAACTCTATCATACTGCTGGTACACTAACTGAATGGAAAATCTCGTAAAAATCTTGCCCGATCATGAAAATTTGATCTTTCTTAAAGCTTTACTATACTGGTATACTAAAACACACTTTCTAAAACCCTTTTTCTGCTCTTCCTCAACCTTCCGAAATACCATGGAGAGCATTTAAAGCCCCACTATAATAATTTAATAAAGTTTCATCAAACTTAACAGCTTACTTCATTTGTCTATCTTGTCTTTTGTCTTTTGTTAATTCCGTCTCGTTCTCCGTTCCGAACATCCTCATCTGGATCCGGTCTCGAGTCTCCGTTCGTTGTACGACATATCTTTTTCTGGCTCTCGTTCTATGTCTCCACTCCTCGCCCAGACTATCTTCCTCTGAATCTCTCTCTCTCTATCTCTGTTCAGAATACCAAATGATGTATAGCGTCTCAGTTCGTGGGTTTAGTTTCACTGTCTCTCTTGTACTCCAGGTATGTTAATCATCTTCTCCTCGCCGCCCCTGTTGGGTAATACTCTCCGATAGTTATTTGTCAAACTTTGTTTTACTTTTCATTTCAATATCGACAGTTCTTTCAGTTCCAAGTAATTTCTGATTTATCTGATTTTTGTGATCAATGATATTGCACTGTTATTTCGATATAACTACTGTTATATAAATCTTATGACTCATTCTGACTGTTATATAGATTTTGTGACTCATCCTGACTTTGTATCTCCTTCCAGCCTATCCGCATTCTCCCGTAACTCGTCCCCGACCACTCTTTGTTTCCATTTATCAGTACTCGTCTCCGACCCCTCTGTGTCTCCATTGATCAGTACTCGTCTCCGATCCTCTGTGTCTCCATTTATCAGCTCTCGTCTCCGACCCCTCTGTGTCTCCATTTATCAGTACTCGACTCCGACCACTCTGTGCCTCCACAAAATGATAAACTGATTACACATCACACCTCACCATATCTCTCCTTTGGTATCATCACAGTATCAATACTATACTCTGTGTCTAGAGAATCATGTGATTTTTTCTGCACTTGACACTCACTGAGACGCAATTGAATTGTTGTACCTTCTGGTTCTTTCACCAAGTTCCAGACGTTGATGTCTTCCTTCCTTACAGAATTTTCTTTCCATCCAGGTCCAATTACACTTGCTCTCTGCCACACATCGTTGTTATGATCTGCTGACTCATACCTAATGACAACCTCACTCTTAAAGTCTAATACCTTGTTCCTCTTGACTACAACATCTACCCAGTCTTGATTATCATCAGACGAAGAAGCACTCTGAAATTCATCAGGCTCACTTGTGTCTCTATTTTCATCACCGACACTTTCTCACTTGTTCACTACTGGTCTCTACATTACCAGATTCTTCTATTGAAGTTTCAGTTCCACTCGAAACTTCCACTCCTTCTGCTGATGGTTCATTGCCTACTTTCTCTGATTCATTCGGACAGAATTCATCTTCACTGTCACTATCACTATCAACAATCTCCTCTTTCCTTACACTCTCTTCCCTACCAGTTTGTTCAATGGTATATTTCTCTGATTTCATATTTTCCCATAACATGATATCTGCCACATAATGACCTGATTTGGTCACTTTCAGTTGTTGCCGTTCTCCGCCAATCATAATCTGATCATTCTCTATGTCTAATGATACCCCCAGTTGCTTCATGCTACATCTAGAAAACAAAAATGGTAATTCTTCTGGAACCACAAATGTTTCTAACATGAAATCTCTGTTACACAACTTGACGGGTAACATGACACATTTGATAGATTCAACCGCGCGTCCGTCTCCAAACGAAAACTCAAGTTTCTCTCGACTTCGCTGACCTTTTTCTTCAACTCTTCAGGCATTGACTCTAAGAATGTGTTCAACCAAACATCACCACCACACATAGAACTGGTTGTCCCAGTGTCAATCAACACCTTGTTCAATGTCTCATTGACTAACAGCACTGTCTCACAGTAGTCTTTGTCAATTTTGTTTGATTCTTTACCATTCCTGCACGACTGATACACACACACTGAGCCCGAATCCTTCTTTCGAACATCATTAACATTGGGATTATGTTGACAATCTGCCCGGAAATGCTTATTTGAATCACAAATTGAACATCTTGCTACCTCGCCTGTTTTGTGACTGATAGCATTTAACTCATCTTTGTAGTCTGAGTTATTCCTTTCTTTTGAATTGAGCTGTTTGTCTCTTTCCCATGGTCTGCTGTAATTTCCAGATCTCCCTCTGCCATTGGAGTAATTGTTATAACCGCCAGAAGAGAACGATTTCCTTCATCCTTGTCCTCGATTATTGTATCCTTGATAGAATGTATATTCTTCGTTATCACCACTGATATCAGTATCCTTTTCATCAAACTGACCCCTATGGTAATGCACATCCGATCCAGGTTTTACCTTCATCTTCACTGTGTCTAACTCCATTCTGGATCTACGACAGAAAACAGCGTCACCGAAACACCTCTTCAAACATTCCTCAATTGCTTTACTTGTCAACTCTTGAGTCCCCATTGCAGCTTTGATCAATATCTGTTGATCTTTGGTCAGGTGGCCTGAGTTAACAACCTGTATGCCAACGTACCCTCATGATAAATTTCTTTCTTGTCATTAAACAACTCTCCGATCCGGTTCAATCGTCTCTTGGACTCAGCGATATATTCTGTCATTTGCATTTGTTCCGGTCTAACAAACTTTTCTAGATCATCAATACCTAGAAATATACTCTGAGTATACATATAAATATACTCTAAGCGTGTTGCAAAATCTCTTGCCTTGAAATCCTGGATTCTCAAGACACACACTGCAGCCTGCTTAGCAGCTGCTATCGAAGTTCCCAACTCCCAGATGCCGACTTCACGTTTCCACTTCAAGTAATCCATCCCCTCTGTCGACAAAGGTGGTTGGTCTCCTCCCATGTCTTATCAGTTCTTCTACCTGCTACCAATGATAAATTTCTTTCGTCCATAGCTTTCTGTACAAGAGGATCTTGCCCTCTTTGAAGACCTCCTCGGCCACCGTGTCCTTGCGTACAATCCATTGCAACATGACCCTGTCTCCCGCATCCATAACAAGTAGGGGGCTTTCTACATTCCTTTGCGAAATGTCCATGCTGTCCACAGGTGTAACAAGCACCGATGTCTCTTCTCGGCCGGTTCTCTTCCATCACTCGGTTTATCACTCCCTCATCCATCTCTATATCCTCCTCGATTTGGAACAAAAGTTCCTCCTCATTCTTCCCTGGTTTAGGGCTACGACTCGCCAGGATCCCATCCAACTTAACTGCCCTCTTTAGCGCGGCCTCAAAATCTTGCACTCGTGACTTGATTAACTCGATCCCGATTTCATCCTTTAATACCCCAGCTGTAAATACATCTAGCCTGATGGTCTTCTTGATCTCCTCCTCCCCCGGTGCATATGCCGCATCCGCCATGTCAGTGACTCTAGCTGTAAAATCCGAAATTGTCTCTTCCTCTTTCTGACGCATCTCAAGAAGTCTCTTCCTGCACCCGCCTTTGAATGCACATCACATAGCACCTCTGTCCTCCTCTCCAAACTCGCCTCTACATTTCTCTTCTCGTCCCGGGTTAATCGTAGGGTCTCCACTCTCCTCTGTGCCTTGGGGTCCAAGTACGTCATGATCATGTCCACCAAGTCTTCATCCAAGATGTCCGCAGCTTTGGCGAATATTTTAAACCCGCTCAGGAAGGTTCTAAAGCTGTGTTTCCCCAGCACAAACATCCGAGGTTTCATTAATGGGTATTTCTTACCCGCTGCTCTGTTCGCTTCTCTGATTCTCCTCTTTTCGGTCTCATTCTCCTGCATAGCTTCTAACTTACCCTCTCTGAATCCATCTCTTCTTAGCTGTGCTCCCTGCTGCCTCAATTCATCATATTGAGTCCTTAACTCTTCGTTTACTAGCTCAGCCTCCTGCTGCGCTCTCATCATTACCTCATTAGCTATCTTTAGTTCTGCCAATTCCTCTCTCAGTGCCGCTTCCATGACTTTCTTACTCAAATTATTTGTTATATAGTAGTGTTGAAAGTATTAAAATAAAATACAAACACTGTCTCTCTCTTCAACAATGTACTAATTAAAATACAAACACTGTCTCTCTCTTCAACAATGTACTAATTAAAATACAAACACTGTCTCTCTCTTCAACAATGTACTAATTAAAATACAAACCCTGTCTCTCTCTTCAACAATGTACTAATTAAAATACAAACACTGTCTCTCTCTTCAATAATGTACTAATTAAAATACAAACACTGTCTCCCTCTTCAACAATGTACTAATTAAAATACAAACACTGTCTCTCTCTCTTCAACAATGTACTAATTAAAATACAAACACTGTCTCTCTCTTCAACACTGTACTACTTACGATGCAAATATTATCCCGCTCTTTAACAGTGTACGAATTAAAATGTAATAATTAAAATACCAAGTATACAGGTCAAATGTAATAATTAAAGCTCTCGCTTATCAGCTCTCTATTGCTCGGTTTTTACTCTAATTGATAAATCAGTGTCTCACACCGTCACTCCATGACTTAATCTCAGTCAGTTCCTCAAATTCAAATATTCGGACAGTCAATCCACCACTCTTTTCACAGAAAAGTAGTCCTAATTTCTTTCATCATAGAAAATACCATGCCCCGGCACCCCTCAAATTTCAAAACCCCTTCAAAACGTTTCAAGTTTTCAAATAATACACCGCTCTAATTCCCTACAAGTGACGTCACCACTCTCTGAATAACCTCTCCTCAACCTCCAATGCTAGCATCACCCGGGTCTTATTTATATAATATCTCTTCCTCTATCTCTTCCTCTATCTCTTTCTCTATCTCTTCCTCTATCTCTTCCTCTATCTCTTCCTCTATCCTGAAGTGTTGGTCGCACAATTTCGCCAGCCCACTCCAAACTCCCCCTCTCGCTCTCTTTTATGATATCACAATACGTAGCGCTACTAAAAGAAAACAAGTCTGACACACTACAGAACGGTTCAGCAGGCAGCCACTCCCACTGAGGCTCTGGTGGCTGAAAGTATGTCAAGTCTGCCGTCTTAAAACTTAAAATAAGACCCGGTTATCTCTGAACACTTCACCGAGCATTCCTTTACTGCTGCTGCTCTTACACTGCACTAGTCTAACAATGGTAACTGACAACACTGTATAATATTACGTTTACGTACATATTTACAAATACTCCTGACCTCTGTCGACTCACTCTCACACACTAAATAGTCTCCATTACCTTAATTGAAATACAAAACAAACTATCCTGTAATAAAATAGGATCCTACCGTTCGCGCCATTTGTAAGCAGTGGACACTTGCTTCCCGGTTCGAAGTTTATTTGCATTTAATTAAGGGTTTGGACAATGGAAACGAGCGTGATAATAAAGGGTAAACAAAATTAAACTATGAAACAACACAATGAATAATTCGACAACCTCTACTTCAAATCCTAATTAACCAGACTCGTATCGCCCATAAACGCCCAGCGATCTAGTGCTGCAACATAAAACACGGATAGCACGGTCAACTCGCCTTGACCGTGCCTAATCTAGGTACCCTGAAACAACCACTGTCGATTCTAAACCTCTAACGACACGTTCCATCCGTGCTCACCAGGCCCCAACCATAACTGGTCCTGGTCCCTTATACTATTCCGGTATCAACCATGACCCTCTATCGAATAGGGTGAGAATGCAAACAATAAAGGTGCCCAAGGTACTTAACTGAACAATGAATAATCGAATATTTGCTCAACCAACGCTTAGTCACTTAGACTCATATTGCCTCAAATACTATGCAACAAATTCCTAATTACTCCGATTCATACTGCCTCAAATATTACGCAACACACTTCCTGCCGTTAATCCTACCCTTAATCTAGCTTTACCTATCTGAGTCAACCATTGCTGACTATTCCTCCCGGGCTCTTACTCTTAGTCTAGCCTTATCTGTCTGAGTCAACCAGTGCTGACTATTCCTCCCGGGCTCTTATTCTTATTTTAGCTTTACCTATCTGAGTCAACCAGTGCTGACTATTCCTCCCGGGCTCTTACTCTTAGTCTAGCCTTATCTATCTAAGTCAACCATTGCTGACTATTCCTCCCGGGCTCTTATTCTGAGTCTAGCTTTACCTATCTGAGTCAACCATTGCTGACTATTCCTCCCGGGCTCTTATTCTTAGTCTAGCTTTATCTATCTAAGTCAACCAGCGCTGACTATTTCTCCCGGGCTCCTACTCTTAGTCTAGCTTTACCTATCTGAGTCAACCATTGCTGACTCTCGCTCTGCCAGAGCCCAGTGTTGTCAAGACATCCCCTGGTGTCGGACCAACCATTGTTGACCCCGGCCACAACCAAGCCTGATAATAGTAACTACGGAATGCTCCGCTATTCTACGGCCGCCAATATTATACTTACCACTATAACCATCTACCTAACTAAACGACCTAACCTTAACAGGTTCTAGCTACAGAACCTGCCCGGTATCAAAATGACCCCCCCTCTCGATCGGGTAAACTGGCACTCCCTATCTCAAAAGGCTAATCGTATTTTTCTCTCGCCCCTGATAGTCTAAACAATCCTTCCTTTCCCTGGAATCTCAAACTATCCTGTCGATAGCCGCAACATTGTAACACTAGTATTCTGTAAACACTCCATAACTCAACCTCGTACTGACCAAACATATGTTAAACTGACCTCTCTGCACTTAAACTGCAATAACTGTCGTCTACTAATATATGCCCAAAATACTACCGTCACATACTGGACCCCACGACCGCCTTATTATAATCATTACACTATCTACATATTACACACTATTACCCTAAATTCATCTCAATTAATCACTGCTTACAATTTGGTTTCAAAATCTCTGTCAAGAAGGTCGTATACAGGATCACCCTTTCTACTGGCCGGTTGTTTTGAAGTAAATCTCAGCAATTTCGGATCGTAAAGTGTGCAATATACTCCAGAACCCTCAATATCAGATTGGCATGGCTCGGAATAATGTCTGGTCCGGTCCCTACACACTGCCTCTAACGCTTTACTCCCGCCTACTATATACGATACAAAAGTTGGCTTTGAGAATTGTCTCGATCTTCTACGAACAAAATACTTCCCCGTTAGTTTTCTGTCCGGTTCTCTGTTTGGATTAATGTCCACATCCTGGTAAATAATATTAGTTTCTGGACCTGAGGAACGTCGTTCACTTCCTGACTCAAATCTCTCTTGGGAAAACTCTTTAGAGCTAAATGAGTTATTTACAAAAGGGTAAATATCTGTGCAATATGATGGATAATCAGATTTGTCCGACATGCTTCTCTCGCGAGGCAGTTCGTAGCTTATAGATTCTGCAAAACTGTTAAATTCTGAGCTGTCTGAGTTATAACCGTCCTTAGATTCACAAGAATCAGAATTATTGGCGCCTAAGTCTTCGTATTCGAACTTCGTAGAATTGGCGCCTAAGTCTTCGTACTCGAACTTCGTAGAATTGGCGCCTAATTTTTCGTACTCGAACTCGAGGAACTAATGCAGAAATGCTTTGTGGAGAACAATTGTCCGCTTGAACACATTCTGAGTGGGCCATTATATTCGCTGAATCAAGTCCACTCACTAGTGCCTGGTTAACCGTGTGATCTCTAGCAATAGTGTTCCGTCTGATCTCAACAAGATTTGAAATTATCTTAATCTGGTCTCTTAAAGCTGTGATGAATTCTCCCGCCCTCTCAGACCGGAAGGAATATGTTCGGTTACCATCCTTCATCCTGCCAACCTCTAATAGTATTGTGTTGGGATAGGTTGAGTCCCTGTGATACCTGTTAGAGATAGCTTTTAGTTAATCACTAATTCTCTACCCTAAAAAGCTACCTTAAAGAGCTTCATATTTTTACAGTGCAATTGATATCAACAATCTATGTTAATTTGGTAATCAACCCTTATAATGTCTATACTTTGGGCTTCAATCCTATGCATAAATAAAGTATCACTTAATTGTCAAGCCGTCAAGGTATCATATCATCAAAACATACGTTCTTATCTTGGTAAAAGGTAGAGATCTGGTGATGCAGCTACGGTAGAGTGAGATCACGCTCACTTCCGAAGGAGTAACTGCTAGCAGAAACTCTGTTTCATCTACATCAACCTGTAAATATCTATCATAGCACATGTGGACTAGCTGACAGGGGTGGTGCAGTGAAACATATTGTGTTAGTTTTGAGATGAATGCACTGAATGGGAGGGGGTAATTTGTTTGTAGCTCGATTGATATTGCGTGGTCGGTATCAACCTAAATTATTTAGGAGACCGTCCCAGAGTTTCTTAATCATGACGTCGGCCTGATTATATTAATACTACGGACCACTGGACCAGGCTTGAGGTCGTCCCTAAAATTCCCTTAATAGTTAATATGAAATATTACTTAAAATTGGGCACATGTTAGAACTTAATCACTTCTGGCCTAGACTCTAGAGTCTCAGCTTATAAAACTAAAGATCATTTATGCTTTATAGAAATGGAGTTTACATAATATGGAGAACTGGTCACACTAGCTGAACCAGGCGCATACCATTAGTTCGGTTGCTATGGTGATCTTAAGAATAAAGACAGCTGAGGCTATATTTCCCAAGCGGTTGCCAGGTCAGATAAACAAAACAAGCCCCGATCCACATGTTGACGTAGTGCATAGAGATTGAAGTACCCTACATAATCTGGGATTGCGGGCGCCACAAGAACTATCTCAATCTTTCTAATCATAACACCATCCTACTCTTGACACTATTTCAATTTACATGTCCTAAATAAATGAATTTCGACCAAGACAGTTAACTTATATTTATTAGAACCATAAAAGATAATGCACGGTTTTAAAGATGTTGCTATAAAGTTTACAGATGGAACACTGGTCACACTCTAAAAGTGAAAATGTTTTAATTTTTAGGAAAGGGAAGTAACACTACCCACCTCACCAATATCCGTACACACGTAAAATATCTTGTCTAGCGTGGTATTTTGCTGATGTAACCTGGTAGAAATAAAGTGAATAATTATCTAAAGAAAGACCTAAGTAAACTGAGACTAAGAATCAACAAAGATGGTCTAACTTGCAGTCCGCACGTGCATTCTGCAATATAAAGTCGATCTTACTGTGGTATGTGTGGTTATGGATATAGAAAAATTGATAATATCACCTGAGGCTGAGAATTTTTCGAGTCAGATCTTCTGCACCTACTCCCTTACAGTTAATAATCTTTGTAGGAGTCGCTATCAGGTACATACCCTCACAATTCTGTGGTACTTCTGAAGATAGGACACTTCCCATGAAATGTTCTTGAGTCCGAACCCCCACTACAAGGTTCCTAATAGACACACATTCCTGTACACATTCCTGCACACATTCCCCCAACGTTGAGCACGTGTCGGGATCCTGATTACACGTGTCGGGATCCTGATTACACGTGTCGGGATCCTGATTACACGTGTCGGGATCCTGATTACACGAAGTAAAATTACTCTCAAGCTCAGTTTTTGGTATCCCTCCTGATTTGTCTTCATCGAACGGCCAGAATTTGAGCAACAAAGTGTCTTGCTCGATGTTTTGAGTTTTGACGGCTGCAACATAGGTTTGCCAGGAGTCTAGTGAATCGTTGAAGAAACATTGCAAAGTTCTTGTAAACATAACTCGTATATTATATTGAAATGAACTTTATCCTCTGTGATTCTGTCATTATTTTGATTGATCTGCTGTCCTGCATGATATAAACTATGTAAGCAAAGTTTATTATTAATTAAAGATCTTTCCAATATTATCCCACAATATATGTCCCACATTGTTTTATGAGACGAATAATAACGACAAGGCAAGATAAACAACATACCAACATAGGACACAAGAAACTCGAGAAATATAAACCGCTACTTTGTACTGAGCTTACGTCACTTTGATATCAGTAGGGTGTAGATAAGCGACTCATATTTCTGAAAAGAACAAAGTACTTTCATCACTTTTAAATCAGGATTTTATTTATCAGTATTTTAGGAAATAAGCGACTCATATTTTTGAAGAGAACCAAATACAAATTTTTATTGGCAGCAGTGCCAGCCAATTTTCAGCTAAAAATGCAATGCTGTACAACTACTACGGCCGAAGTAATCCCGATAACACTCGACCTCTGCCTGATCCAGAGGATGTCACCATTTTACCTTCACACAGACATCGAACGCTGTAAAAAGATGACGATCAGACCTCGTTAGGGGTCGTTCACATATTACGTAATCAGCCGAGGGGGAGGGGTTTTCAAATGCTTACGGTTGATTACGGGGGGGGGGGGGGGGGGCGGGGGTTTTGGTCGTTGATTACGTAATCAAAATTTTAACTTTTTACCGATTTTCGAAATACCAATTGGACAATTTTCGTTAATTATGTAATCAAAATTTTCGTTTTTTAAACCAATTTTCGTTTAGTAAGTGCTTTGCGATTATTTCATTCATTAATCCGTTGTGATAGCTTTTAATAAATAAATGGCTTAACATGTAATATAGGAGGGATGTTGGGTCTTGATTACGGGGGGGGGGGGGGGGGGGGGGGGGGGGGGGGGGGGGGTCAAACCTTGATTACGTAATATAGGGGGGGGGGGGGGGTTTGGTCTTGATTACGGTTGATTACGGAGGGGGGGGGGTAAAAATTGCCAAAATATTGATTACGTAATATGTGAACGACCCCTTATCAAAAAATTTATAAACTCACAATAATTATGGAAACATAATACAACGATTCAATCAAACAAAAACTCTATAAACGATATTCTGAACAATTCTCTGCTTCCAAACGATCGAAAATTTCGAAATACTAAACCCCAATATATCGGTAATTTAGGTGAAATTCAGGCTTTTCCGGAAGAATTATGAGAATGCACCACACAGAAACCAGTAATTATGATTATGATACGTATTGCTGGGGCGTGAAAGACAATTTCGCCGCAAAAATTTTCAGTAATCCAATCATTAAGTCCACAGTAACTCGGGACAATGCACGTGTATCTTCAGATTCGTCAACTTTTTGATGTCTGCTTTGTTTAATCTGGTCTCTTAAAGCTGTGATGAATTCTCCCGCCCTCTCAGAACGGAAGGAATATGTTCGGTTACCATCCTTCATCCTGCCAACCTCCAGTAGTATTGTGTTGGGATAGGTTGAGTCCCTGTGATACCTGTAAAGGATAGCTTTGGAATATTCAAGTTATAAGTTACATTAAAGTATTAACTATCATCCGCCCTTAGTGTCCATACTAAGTGTGTCAATCGTATGTTTAAATATTTTAGGTATTGCTTAATCTGTATGATTTTGGTGACGGCATCAAAACATACGTTCTTATCTTTGTAAAGGGTAGAGATCTGGTGATGCAGGTACGGTAGAGTGAGATCACGCTCACTTCCGAGGGAGTAACTGCTAGCAGAAACTCTGTTTCATCTCCGTCCACCTGTAGGAAATTCACAGTACACCTGTTACCTGTTCCCAGAATCTTTGTAATAAAGGAGGTACGTATTATACTGTGTGTATCTCCTGTACGTCGTACGGGTACACTTATTACTAATTGCTCAATTGTTGTGGTCTGTATCAACTTCAGGGACCACTTACGTCATCGTTACGTCAATAAGAAGCCCAATCCAATGCTAAAGACCAGGTTAAGGGTTAAGGTGCTCTATTGGAATGCTCCATTGTATTTAAAAATACTTGAGATATATGGTACTTCAACAATCAACAATGATTAATGAACGGCTCTTAAATGAATCCATCATCACCTGTTATAAAATGTGGTTAATAATGACTTTAGAAGCTAGCTGATGCCAAGAGCATGCCATTAGTTCGGTTGCTATGGTGATCTTAAGAATAAAGTTAGTTGAGGCTGTATTGCTCAAGCGGTTGCCAGGTTAGGCACTGAAGGAATCGTGAAAAACATGGTCGGATACACACGTGATGCGCGAACTATCCTACAAAATCTAGAAATGCGCGCGCCATTGAAACTTTTGGAAGACCCCTTTTATTATTCTACTTACAGTTATGACAGGACTACTTCAATGCCATCATCAATGGTCTCAATGAATCACTTTTGACTTTAAATTAAATATGTTCGAATTCAAAAAATATATAAAGCATTAAACTTTGCAGTTGGGCAACTGTTAAGTAACAATATTAGCACGTGGTGGAAATGGAAGTATCACTACCAACCTCTCCGCTGTCAGCGCACATGTAAAATATTTCTAGCGTGGTATTCTGATGAAACCTGGCAGAAAAGGAGTTATTAATTGCCCTCTTCAAATCATAGTGAAAATCAATAAAGATGATCTTACCTGCAATTTATTAACTGATGTATCATTTATCAGGGTGGGCCAAAAGTCAGTACCCATACGTTGGGTCTTGTACCTCCGCCGTGTTTTATATTTGAGAGTTGTTGCTTTGCAGATGGCATACTGTACCTACTTGTTCGAGGATTCCGTCACCAAAATTTGAAAATTCGATTTTTGGGGGCCACACCCAATCAACATCGAATTGCTTATACTGGTGTTTGTGAACATGTTAGAGACTCCGTTGTAACATATTGCAATAGGTCATTTAATCCGGAATATGATCTGAAAAGATGGTGCGAAACGGATTTAAAATGACGAAGTTATCAAGCAATTTGTTTATCTCGTTAGCAAATTTGATTGGGTACTCAATGATTACCCAATTACGGCACCGTAATTGGGCTCTCTACACGATTCCCATAATGCGGATCTAGCCTCAACCCAATTACCTGATCACACGTAATGAACAAACTCGTTATGCTTCATATCTCGGTCATCTGAGAAGCTAGAACTCTTATTTTTTCAGGACAAACGTAATTTAAATGGCCAAACACTATTAAATAAAATTTGGCTTGATCCGACTATCCAAACTATCAAATAAATGCAAAAATGAACCTTCATTTGAAAAAAATGAACACGAATATTTTTCGATTTGACAAATTCCTCGAACCAGTGGTGGTAGTAAGTAATACCAGAAAGAATTATTTCAATTGGGCACTCAGTGATTGAGCTATTAAGGCCAACATATGGGTACTGACTTTTGGCCCACCGTGTATATTTGGTAGTACTGATAAAGTTAATTGAAAAATCACCTTTGGCTGAGAATTTTTCGAGTCAGATCTTCTGCACCGATTCCCTTACAATTAATAATCTTTGCAGGAGTCACTATCAGGTACATACCCTCACAATCCTGTGCTACCTCTGAAGAGAGAACACTTCTCATGAAATGTTCGGGAGTCCTAATCCCCACGACACAGTTCCTTATGCAGACACATTCCTCCAGCGGGGAACCCGTTATCACGGCGAATCCAGGTTCGATTGCATCGCATTTAGTGATTGGATGAAATATGAGATTCAAATCCTCGTCGTTCTTTTGAATCATGACGGAAGCAATAAAGGTATTCCAGGAGTCTAACTTGTCCCTGAAGGAACATTCCAGAGGTTTTGTAGATGGTACCGTTGGTACGGTTCTTGTCATTGCTGAAAGTCAATTGTTTGTCTTGAAACCTGCTCAAAGAAATTTCATTAACTATTGTGTTGCCCTATTTTATGCGTAACCTCTGTAACACCTTATCTTCCTTTATTTGGTCGGTCATTACTTGGACGCTGGAGGACTTAGCGCTCACGTAATGTCCACCCAAATTAAAGTCAGGCTATCATGCGATTTCAAAAATATACTCTTACCGTTCATGGTTATAGATTATGTCCGACGAAAATTATGTCCGTCCACGTAATTTCTACCTAAATAAGGTCCGATAAGGTAAAGGTTATGAGGTAAGAACTAAAGAACTGTCCAACATTTGATTTCAGAAGTAGTACATTTGAAAAGGCACCGCTTAGACAAACGGCAAGGGGAAATCCCAGGGGTGTAGGAATGATTTTCTTCATGGGGGGGGCCAAATTCTAAATATTTTTTGGCGCTTCGCGCCACAGCCTAAATTTTTTGCCGCATCGCGCCAAAGCCTGAATTTCGAGGGTAAGGACAAAAGGAAATTGCAGCATGTGCGGTATCGCGATTTTTTCACGTTTGCCGCGACAAATCGCGATTTTTCAGATCCTGGCATCACGACAAATCGCGATTTTTTCCGTTCTCCGCGTCAAATTGCGCATTTTCCTTTAAATCTGAGGACCAAATTCGCGTATTTTCCTTCAAATCTGTGGGCCAAATATCTATAATTAGTGTATTAAACCAATCAGTATCACATCCACAACCTTCCGAATGTAGTAATGGACTTCAAAAAACCGAAAAATATATTTTTGGCTCAGAATGATCAGGGTAGCATGAAACATGAACATAAGTAATTTCCAGAAAAACTTTGAAAAATTTTGACTTAGAAAATTTTCGGTCAGAGTCATTCTCGATACGTACCTCTGAAAGCAGAGCTCCCACTTCCGAGCTCGTATTGCGAATGGGAGGCATGCTTTCCGAGATCGCATTACAAAGGGGAACCCTCGAGTCCAAAATCGTTTATCGAAGGGTAGGTCCGGACTTCAAAAACCGAAAAAAATATTTTCGGCTCAGAATGATCAGGGTAGCATGAAACATGAACAAAAGTAGTTTCCAGAAAAACTTTGAAATTTGTTGACTTAGAAAATTTTCGGTCCGAGTCATTCTCGATACGTACCTCTGAAAGCAGAGCTCCCGCTTCCGAACTCGTATTGCGAAGGGGAGGCCTGCCTTCCGAGATCACATTACAAAGGGAAACCCTCGAGTCCAAAATCGTATATCGAACTTCGAAAACCAAAAAATATATTTTTGGCTCATAATGATCAGGGTAGCATGAAACATGAACAAAAGTAGTTTCCAAGAAAACTTTGAAAATTTTTGACATAGAAAATTTTTGACTTAGAAAATTTCAGGAAAAATTTTTTTTTCCCAAAAATTGTTGGAAACCTAAATTAAAAAGTTGGCCCTTTTTGGCCCCTTGGCCAGATTTCATGGGGGGGGGGGGGGGGGGGGGGGGGGCGATGGCCCCCCCTGCCCCCCGCTTCCTACACCCCTGGGAAATCCACAGTATTTTGAAATTAAGCCCAAAAGATATAGCCTCTCTAATGGAACCCAACTGTTCTAAAAGCCATTTCGTTAGCTTTTCGTGTTAAAAGCGATTTCTCGACGATTATCACCTCTCTAGATGATGCTTAAAACATTTAGCCATTATTGCATTTTTGTAATAAATGCGACAGGGGTGTTTTCGGCCACACCCTTTTTCACGGGTTTCACGGTCACTCGAATTGTTGTATTTTAGCCCAAAAACACGGTAGAGACTATTCCATTCCACCAAAATGTGCCTAATAGCCATATTTATATATAACTTATGAAGCAATATATACCTTAAAATGCTTATTTTCGGAAATGTGGCTGAAAAATGGATTTTTGCCGTGCGAACAATGACAATACTCACAAATAGGCTATTGGACTGTTAATAATAATATATAATAATAATATAACTTGATATGTACCAAGAATACCGGACCTAAATTAATTCGGCACTGGATCCGGGCCAGATTGTCGCTTGACCACTGACCAGTACCCCACCTTATAATTATAATTGACCCTGGATTGAGATCTGTTGGCCACTGTTTAATTTAGCTCATTTCCTATAATACCGCAGTGGTTTGGTTCCCACTTCAGGATGACCCCATGTTCTGTTCTTCAGTCGCATAACATTTTCCCATCGTATGATAATGCGTGTCATTCCCTCGTTTTTATCAAGTGGTTACTGCACTGGCTAGCTCTTTTGTTATTACTATACAGCTGCCTCGAGATCTTATCTGGGGCACTAATACTAGAACATTAGAACTGTAATTCTAGAACCTCAGATTACGATTACTTGGAAGAAGACTTTGGCTGCCAGACAGTTGCGCCCAAACTAGATCTAGCTACCATGAGAAGATGACGAATCAAAACCAATTAAAAAACTGCTCGATCAGATACGACAGTTGCGCCCAATCGATATTGAAATCCCCCAATTATAATAAAAGTTATCTTTATTAAATCAAAAATCGTACGATCATAACGATAGATGCAAAGCTACGAAGAATGTTACAGATAGGACGGGATCGTTCATTATTTTTACCCTAGCAAAAATTGAGTTATCGAGGATAATATGCAATGAAATAGTGAATATATTCACTACTATATATATAATATGCATTCTTCAGGGCGGACTGTAATATAGTATTCGTCCGAACTTTATTTTTAGATTTTGCACATTTATTTAATTTGTAATTTTACTCCCTCCCAACAGAAAGTTCATTCCACAAGTTGCAGGAGGTTCTGTGGCTTTATGCCAGAGCTTAGACGTAGCATCTTGGGTAGTGAGTGTCTTCCACGAACAGTTTATGGTGTATTAAAAATGACTAAAGTACTCATTTTAACCTAAGTTGCATGATTTGGTTCACACTTAGATATTTAAGTGCGACTTTGGGAGTCGAACTGAACGTGCACTTGGGTGCAACTGTCGTTTTGGGAATCTGACGTCACTGATTTGGAACCTGATAGTGGCCTATTAAGGTGTGGAAAACGGGCGCAATTGTCGGTAGGCCATTTTTTTAGATGTTTCTGGACACAAAATGAGTAATCTTGCATCTTGTGACAAATGCTATGTTGCTCATGAGTCTTTATGACCTTTCTAGTTAACAGTCCAATAGCCCCATTTGTGAGTATTGTCATTGTTCGCTCGGCAAAAATCCGTTTTTCAGCTACATTTCCAAAATAAGCATTTTAAGGTATGTACTACTGATTGATTCATAAGTTGTAGATAAATAATAAATATGGCTATTAGGCACATTTTGGTGTATCGGAATAGTCTCTACGACGTTCCTGGGCTGAAATACAAAAATTCGAGTTAACACGAAACCCTGAAAAAGGGTGTGGCCGAAAACGCCCCTATCGAATTTATTACAAAAATGCAATAGTGGCCAAATGTTTTAAGCATCATCTAGAGAGGTGATAACTGTCGAGAAATCGCTTTTAACACCAAAAACTAACGAGTTTCCCTTTCGTCTCGGACGAGATAATATTCCATTATCAAGCGAGGTATGACATTGTCACGTGATTCACTGTTACGTGTAGTAGAGTTAAGAATAGAGGACCCACCCCTGTTCCTGAAATAAGTGTGATTATATTCACGCATTAATCATACAATGAATTAAGCAGAATTTTCAATCAATTAAGATTTTAATTTAATTTTAAGTGGTTTTCAGATTTTTTTAGAAGTTTAGAGAAGTAAGAACACGTTTTTCTGTTTTGTTACATAACAACAAGTTAAAATATATAACTATTTTAAAATACACTGACATCAATCAAACAAAAACTCTATAAATGATATTAAGAGTTTTTATTAATATCAAATTATTTAAAACGCTCTGATTATTATATGTACACTTTCTACACAAATTAAAACTCCGTGTATAATTGGATGACCAACATGGAATAATTTAAAAAAGGAATCACTGCGCAACAAGTCAAACAAAATATTGACTAAAATCGTTTCTATTTTGTCAACGCACTTTGTAGTAATATTGATCGCTACTTGAGTAGGTACTTGGTTAAGCAAACAATAGAGATCGTACCTATTAAAGAGATGTCTGGGAACATTATATCACATATATTTTACATTATATTTACATTTTAAAAGTAAAACAGTGTTCATCCATCATGCCGCTTGTTAAATCTTTCGTAAGTTGTTAAATTCTAACGAACGATCCACTGGAGCGGAATTGTTCACATGAATATGATACACACCATTATTATCCAAGCATTTAAAATATCGGTTTAATCTGCGCATTCAATTTAACATAATATAATCATATTTCTATCCAACTAAGTTACATTCATCGGAAAATATTGAAGAAACAAAAACATGTAAAGAACCAGAAATCAATAAGATACCAGTGTAGCAAAGAAGGAACAATGAACTTTGCAGCCAAACCACCGAACATTTTTAAATTCCACAGGCGATAGTCAAACCTCAATTTACCGGGCCTCTATATATTACAATTAACAGGGGAAACACAAATCTTCCCTCAAGAATTTTAGTACTACACTAAAAACTTCTAATTCTGTAGATATTGGTGGGAGTAAAACATTCCCAGTAAATCAAGGTTCACAGTAATTTGGGACATGGTAAATTGACTGTCTATAAGCAATAATAACAAATGAAGTAATTAAAACAAGTTTAGTGAATGAGAGCCTAAGAAATGACTTTTAACAGTCTGTTGACCCGCTCGATAGTTAGAGTCTGTAAGGGGGACCATCTCACTATCTTTAACTCGGGGTTTGCGCAGTAGTACCTGAAATATTAGAGGTGTGAGTTGAGATCAGGGAGTTGTTAGATTAAGTACACGACGTTATAGTGAAGAAAAACCTCATTTGTTCGATTAGAAAGGAAACGTTTTACAATGGCTTTATAAATTTTCGTTCGGGAATTTTGTAATGTTTCATTAAAGTTAATATTTAATTTTTAATTAATATCGAAGGCCGAAATTATAAAAAACATGAAACAGCTACAATCTACATTCTACATATTGAAAATATCATCCCTAGAATAAACACATTTATGTAAGAAGTCAGAGGACAGTTTCCCATATATATATATATATTATATATCCTAACAACATCCAGGTTTAATAATCCTATGTTGCTCAGCTCTATTGGAAGACTATTCTAGATTAAACAAATATTCCAGAGAACAAAGAGAAACTATTTTGAGATCGTTTGGGTGATAACAGTTATGTGCAGTATCAATTGATCTAGAAAGATCTTTCAAATAAAACTTTTAGGAAAATGGAAGGTTTATTTTACGTAAAAAGGAATAAGGTATATGTACCGACTTTTAAAAATAGATTCAACAGCTCTGTTTCCAAAACTCAGGAGCTCCTCAGAAAAAGACATAACACTTGAATACCAAATGACGGAACGACAAATTGCCTCCAAATACGGCGCGGGAAAGATGAAGAGTGACGACTATAACTAAAGAGGTATAGTGTATTATAGTGTATACGACCTTTGACATATTCGTATACCAAGAACATAATATCATATGTCCACTTCTTCTAACAATGTACAGTTTCTGGAAGTTTTTAAAGCTCGTGTACGCGTTCTTATCTGATCGATTAGAAGTAGATTGTTTAACCGTGATCATTGTGTAAACTACACTGTTTTCTTGTTGGACACAAAGCCAACGCAGTAGACCTTACTGTTGGTACTTAAGGGAAGTTGGTAGATAAGAGTTAGATAAAATACAGAACTTTTTAGATCATGCAGCAAAGAAAATATGTCACGTGACCTTTATAAAATATAAAAACGTCAATAATAGCATTTTAATGGACATTTTATCTAGTATGAGATCATGTATGCTCGAGCAGGAGTGTTCACTATGTTGTGGTTAACCAGACTATGAGAAATCTTTGACGTTCCAAAACGTGATTGCTTGAGTCGATATTTCTGCTTGATTGTGGAGTTGAATCCTCCCGAAAATATTCAAACAGAAATCAAAACATTTAGTGATGTTGTAAAAAGCAGCACTAAAAACAAAAGTTCTATAACTGCCAAATAAAAGAGGGACACAAAGAATAAGGACGGTAAAAGTTGACGAAGAATGAGGCCGAAGGATATTCTTATCCACGGATTAAAATTCTCAATTTTAAATCACCTGAGATCGTTGGCAAAGTCAATTGCTTTCTCAAGGAAAAAGGGCGACAGCAAATGCACAATAAAAACTTCTGTACTGTCCCAAGCAACTACAATAAAAGTCCATTCTTTATCGTAGACAGAAGTTTACAACTTTTCTTGAGCTACAGGGACACTTTTTAATTTTGAAATTCACATATTCTCAACGCCTGACACTGTACCCAGTTGAACAAAAAAAACATTACAAAACTGTAAGAAAGTTTGCCTAATAACCTGATATCCTCTAGATGAGAAGTGGTGAGTATCTGCCTGCAGATATTGCTGTTTCTACCCAGCACTTCCACCACAAAGAACACACTGAAGAGGAGAAGAGTGGTACTGGCAGCTCCCGTACGTGATATCAGATACAACCCTCTCTCTACCATGCTGCTGTACACTGGTCCCTGGGGTAACAGAGTGGTTACTAAAACATTATAAACTGGGGTAACAGCGTAGTTACTAAAACATCATAAACTGGGGTAACAGTGTGGTTACTAAAACATTATAAACTGGGGTAACAGTGTGGTTACTAAAACATTATAAACTGGGGTAACAGTGTTGTTACTAAAGAAAACAACAATTTCAAGAAAACAACAATTTTATTTAGTATCAATTAAAGCAAACATAAATATATTTTATATATAACTAGCAGGACCTTTTTACCAGATATCTTAGGGGACTTGGAGTAGCAAGAGAATGGATAGAAGGTATATACCTAATACAAAAATACGTCAAAAAGAATCCAGGGTGATACAGGATCGGAGAGTGCAGACCGTAAAGTTTACGCACCCACCCTTGCCTCCTAAATTCTTGGTTGGGTAGGCATTTATGCGAACTTGGTCGTTTATACTCCAAGTCCCTTTGTTAAAAACTAATAAAATTTATCTCAGGAGTTAACTTCATTCAACAATAATAATATCAATATCAATTAATCACATAAATTTTTTTTTTTTTTTTTTTTTTTTTTTTTTTTTCTTTTTTTTTTTTTTTTTTTTTTCTTAAAATGAGGAACCTGCCAAACCCCAGGACACCAGGAGGATACCACCGGCAAAGCGGCTAATAGTACCCTCCGGTCTGTGTTGTACCGAAGAAGCTGAGTTAATCGATCAAGACTCGGCTTACCAGCCAAGAGGCAAAATCTGAGCGGCACCAAGGGTTCAGAGAGTGTCATTTCAGCTTCTCCGGTGCTGGATGCCCTGGGGTTTCACATGCGCCGTAGCAAAATAAATATAAAAACACACGCACACAATTTTTTTTATTCTTTTAGATAATACGTCGAATAAAGTCAGTGGATATAGAGTAATAAAATGCACATAAGATGGAGAGAAAAAGGAGAGATACTACTGGTTTTAAATATGACTCTATATCAATACTAGTAGTGGAGATAACTCCACTGGCTACAACTTGTGAAATAAAGGGTAAAGGTAAGGCACGGCTGTAATTTCGAGAGAATAAATAAACAAGAGTGTATAGTGGATCCAGAACTTTGGGTATAAAATGGTCATCAAGGTATAACGTCTTTAAGGCACCGTATAATATCCGGTTTTTCACCTAATAAGAAAAGCTTAAGATGTTTAAGATATCGCTCCCAGAATAGGGGTTCCTTGTTCTGGAAACTCCTTCCAATAAACCAACAGCAAACCGAATTTATGAAGTTAACACTTTTATCTCTGTGATTTAAGCAAATCAAATAGTGGCGATATGGGTCGTCATAATTTGCGTCAATATTCGATCTAATAAACAGATTTACTCCCTGTAGGAAAGAGCTTGTGGCTGGACAGTCAATAAATATGTGAGAGATAGTTTCGAGGTTGTGATTACATAACGAGCAATTTGGACTATCTTTTTCAATCTTCATTTTATATCTCATGTACCGACAAGTACTAATCCGGTGAAGGAGCTTATATTGGTACTGAATAAGTTTGAAGTTATTTGAGAAAGAAGTAAAAATATCCGTAAAAATACTAATCCAATCAATATCCGTTAAGGAGAGGTTAGCACTCCAGTTCCTCATTGGAGGAAGGGTGCTGGGATCTAAACGCTTAGACATGGTATCTCTAATGTTTCTACCTTTGATAGTGAGAGGAGTATCTCTAGAGTTGGGGGTATTCCTACCTCCCCAAAAGCGAAGTGAAAGTTGGGTATCGATAAATGTAATGTTACTTGTAAACGTATCGGTATTATTAAATCGACGTATTCCCAATTTTATACTCGCATATTGAGTCGAAGAGATTATACTACTTGTTTGGCCCCACTTTCTCAGAAATTGCTGAAAACTTAAGAGGTTACCTTCCTCTGAAACGAAATCAGAAAGATAGATGATATTTCTATCAATAAGAATATCGTTCCAGAGCTTGGAGCCAATGTCCGTTATTACGTCGCTTCCCCACACACAGTGGTTGACTGTACTCTTACTTGACTGTGAAGAAATAGACTTCCAAAGCTTATAATGGCGAAGAAGGTTAAAGGTAAAACCAGTATTCTTTAATGTGAGACAGTTTTCTATACACACAGTTGGTATATTTGGGTGTAAAAGCTGATTGATGATAATATTTTTCCAGGCATGTTGGAAATTAGGATCGATAACTTTTCCTATAAGTGACACTTTTAAACCTAATAAAATCGTTAGTATAGAAGAGACCTAGACCCCCACATTCACGAGGAGAAGTAACAATATCACGTTTCAACTTATCCCTCTTACAACCCCACAAGAAGTGAAATATCATAGTGTCTATTTTACTGATGGTGTTAGTATCAGGAGTTTCTAGTGGTATGATAAGGTAAGTGAACTGGGAAAGAATAAGAGATTTAATAATTGTACACTTTCCTATCAGAGTTAAGTCTCTCTTACTCCAGGTGTTGATAGCGGTGCTGGCGTTACTAAGTTTACTGTGGTAGTTCATTTTGCAGAGATCAGCTCCACTAGACGTGTTGTCGAACTTGACTCCTAATGCTGTAAACTCGTTAGCTACCATGTCTTCCCCGTATGTACTGGTAAGGTAATTTCGAAGACTAGTGTTGTCTCTGGTAGCTCCTAAAGGTATGCACTTAGTTTTACTGATGTTGGGCTTACAGCCTGAGTGCTGACCGAACAGGTTGAGCTCTAGGATAACTGCATCTACGCAAGCCTGGGAGGGATCCAGGTACAGATCCGTGTCATCAGCAAACAGACTCATGAGTATGTCGATACCATTAATGCTGAGGCCTTTAATATAAGGGTTATACTGTAGCTTATTACTAAGTACCTGGGACACTAGGAGGAAAAGAATTGGGGAAAGGGGGCTCCCCTGATGGACGCCACGAAGTATGTGAACAGGGCTGCTAAGGTTCCGTTAACGTTAGCGTAACTCATACCAGCGTGAAATGCCACTCTCACCAAGTTGATTAAATAATTTCCAAACCCCATACCTTCCAAGACACTGAAAAGAAACTTATGTTCGACCGAGTCGAAAGCCCGTTGGAGGTCGACCTGCATAATCATACCAGTATCCTCTTGGTTCTCATGGTAATGTTCTAAGGTTAGATACATTAAGATCAGATTATCGCTGGTACTCTTCCCTTTTTGAAACCCGGATTGGGCTGTACTAATAAGTGTTGGAAGTGAACTTAAGATCCTATTTTTTATAATATGAGTGAATATCTTATAGTCTACATTCAAAAGGGTGATTGGTCGCCAGTTCTTTATATAGTTTAACTCAATGGGGGTTTTAGGTTTCGGGATAAGTGTTATAATTCCTAGACGTTGTGAAGGTGACATAACCCCATTATCAACCGACTCTAAAAAGGAGTTAAATAGGATATTCTTAATGTCCTCCCAGAATACTTTGTAGAATTCAGCAGTGAGGCCGTCCCACCCTGGAGATTTATTTTTCTTAAATTTACTGATAATACTATCCATCTCCAGGAGGGAAATTGGCCTATCTAACCTATCAGCGTTCTCCTGATCAATAGTATCTAGGTTACTGGAATTAATATAATCGGTTATTTCATGCTCGTTTGGATTCGTAGAGCTAAAGATGTCCTGATAAAAGTTAACTACGTGCTCAGAAATATCCTGCTGTGTGCGTAGTACACCCTGATCGCTGTTAATAAGTTTGGTAATAGACTTTTTTTTAGCTCTACTTTTCTCCAGCCCGAAGAAGTATTTGGTGGACCTTTCACCCTCCTCTGTCCACTGAATCCTAGACCTGGTCATGGCCCCGTTAACCTCAGCTTTAATGATACCATTCCAAGTCATACAATTTTTTGCGCAGATCATCTTTCTGCATAAAATCAGTTATCTTTTTAACCTCTTCAATATCAGAGGATATTTTTTTCTTTTTTGCAACTTTTTCTTTCTTTTCTTTTTTTCCGAATCTGATCGCAAAATCTTTAATTTTCATTTTAATCACGTCCCAGAGTCCCGAGTACGAATCAAAATTACTGTCAGCAGTTTCATTGATAATCTCCCGTACATTACTCAAAAACGACTCATTATTTAGATGGCTATTATTAAGTTTCCAATATCCTATTCCACGTTTAATGGGGGAACCCTGTAGAGATAATGAAATGTAGCTGTGATCAGATCGAAAACCATGACTAATATCTGCGTTACAGACCGGATAATTAACCAGACTATCATCTATAAGGAAGAAATCTAGGCGTGTTTGGGTTTTGTGCTGTTTATTTACGTGAGTATAAACACGCTCATTACCCCTACTAAGACGGAAGATATCACTGATGCCATGATCAGCGGTCACCTGGTTCAAATATTGCTGACGCTTAGTATTACTGTGGGAACTATTACCACCATATTTATCAAGATTATTATTTAAGATAGTATTCCAGTCCCCAGCCAAGATACGATAATCATCCCTTGTACGTCCTAGAGTTTCCAGGAACAAGTTCTCTACAACATAAGTATCATTGCTATTAGGACAATAGACGTTTACCAAGCAATACTTGATGGAATCCTTCTCAATTTCTAACAGTGATACACGTCCCTGTGTGATGATCCTGTGACTGCAAATTTTAATATTAGAATTGGGTTTGACCAGGAATGTAACCCCAGTGGACTTAGAGGTACCATGATTGAAATAAATATCTCCCCCCCAGATTGTCGTCCAGAAGTCTTCCGTTTCAACTACAGAGTGAGATTCTTGTACCATAATAATATCTTCTGGTTTAGCTAGTAGCCAACCAAGAACCGATCTACGTTTCTCGGGGTTTCCGAGGCCATTGCAATTGAAAGAACCTACCCTAAGACTGGCTCCTACACTGTCATTTTCTGACATTGTAAATTCTGAAATTAGCCGCCGCTCTAAAGTTATTTTCACTAAGTTCGTGACGAGTAAAGCTAGTATTGAGTCTAGTACCGTTTCTCCCAATATTGCAAATAATGACGTAGTAGTTATTGTACAATGAC